CCCCCCCCCCCCACCCCCACACCTCCCGGGGGGGGCTCCCCTTCGGGGGGGCCCCCCCCCCCCCCTTTTCGAGCAGGGGCTCCTTGGAGGCGCGCTTGCCGCATAGGATATCTCCCCCCCAAACACCTTGCTGTAGCGCTCGCCGTGTTGGGTGCTGGGGGTGCGGACACGCCGCTGGGCTGGGGCAGCCAACTGCCGTCACGAGCCACCGGTTGGGCAGCTGCAGCTCTCCCACATAGCCCGCGGGCAAGTAGGCGGAGTGAAGATTAGCCGCGGCGCTACCCCGAGCTCCGGCGGCGGCCCGAGCCCTCGGAGCTCCGGCGGCGGCCCGAACCGAGCGCCTGGCCGCCGCCCCAGTCGTGGCCGCCGCGGCCGCCGCCGCGCGCCGCCCGCTCGAAGTCCGCCGGGTTGTATTCCGGGAAGCCGTCGCCGCCGCCGCCGCCGCCGCGCCGCCGGCCGCCGCCGCCCTGGCGCCGGCCGCCGCCGCCCCGGCTGCGGCCGCCGCGCCGGCCGCCAAAGTCGAAGCCGAGCATGGCGGGGTCGAAGCCGCCGCCGCCGCCGAAGGGGTCGAAGCCGCCGCCGCCTCCGCCGCCGCCGAAGCCGCCCCAGGGGTCGAAGCCGCCGCCGCCGCCGCGCGCCTGCTGGCGCTGGAGCTCCTGCGCCGCGCGCCGCGACTCGTCCTCGAAGTGGCCGCAGTTGCAGTTCGGGAAGGGCCCCAGGCAGAGCCAGCAGAAGTCGTGGCCGCCTGGGCAGGAAAAGGGTGCGAAATTCCCAACTTCAAAGGCTCCTATCTCGGTCGTTTTCCGCTCGTTTCGGCTGATTTTTGGACGAGCGATCATCTCTCGGAACGGTCTCGAAGCGTGGATGCTTTTTCCGGAACGCGCGCGCGCGGAACACTCACGTTGAAGCGACGTTGAATCACCCTTTTCCTGCCCCGGTGGCCGCAGCGGCAGGTCATGTGCTGGCAGCCCGCGTTCTTCTCGATGGGCTCGCCGCACTTGGGGCACTTCTTCGTCTTCCGCTCGAGCCACTTGATCATGTCGCTCGGCGGCGGGCAGGGCCGGTCCGGGTGCGCCGGGTTGCCGCAGCGCGCGCAGTAGACCTCGCCGCAGCCGGCCCCCGGGCACCGGACCCGCCCGTCGCCGGCGTCGGCCTCGGACACGGCGCCGACGGCGCCGCAGGGGCAGCGCAGCACCGCCGCCGCGCCGCCGAGGGCCACGCGCAGGCTCCTGTCGCGCTCGCGCTCCTCCATCTGCATGACGTCCAGCGCGGCGACGTTCCGGCGCACGTCCTCCGCCGCGAAGAGCGCGGCGCAGTCCGGCGTCGGGCAGCCGACGCCGCCCGGGCCGACGCCCCTGTCCGAGGCGAACCGGACGCAGAGCTGGCGGAAGCAGGGGCGGCAGACCGCGTGGAGCTCCGCGGCGGGCGACCCGCAGCAGACGACGTCGAACGGCGCGAAGCGGTCCATGCAGACGAGGCACGGGAGCGCGCCGCCGTCGCCGTCCGGCGCGGGCACGACGGCGTCGACCTCGGCGTCGTGCGCGGGCTTCGCGTCCGCCGCGGCGAGGCGCCGCCGCGCGTAGGCGACGGCCGACGCCGTCGTGATCTTCTCGCCGGAGCGGCCCGCGAGCTCCCGCGGCAGGCCCGCGGCGCCGCCGGCGCCGTCGAGCGGCGCGGGGCCCGCGTGCGCGCGGTAGGCCTCGACCAGGCGCCAGAGCGTCGTCTCGCCCGCGGGGCGCGCCCGCTCGTGGGCGACGCGCCACTTGTGCACCGCGGCCGCGGACGCGCCGAAGATACCGGCCAGCAGCGCCGTCCGCTCGGGCGCGGACAGCTCGAAGGTCTGGTCGACGTCGTTGAGGCAGCAGGCGGGCTTCGCGCCGCGGCGCATGGCCGGCGCGGCCTCCTCGGCCTTGCGCTTCCGCCCGCGCGCCGGCGCCGGCGCCGCCGGCGCCGCGGGCGACACGAGGTCGACGGGCGCCGGCGCGCGGCCCGTCGACGCGTGGCGCCGGGCGCCAGCCGGTGGCGATACAAGCTGGACCTCGTCCTCGCTGTCGTCATCGCTCGCCATGAGGTCGATCACCTCGGCCATCGCGCGAACCTTCTCGACCGTGCTGGCGGCAGGACGACCCCACCGACGACGAGCTTGGTCAAACATCTGATGATCTGTCAAACGTGGACTCTGATCGCCTTGCGCAGCCGAAGCTGGCGCCTGCGCCAGCGTTCGCGGCGCACCAAAAGCACTCGATCCCACGCGTATCGCTCTAAAACGATGCTCGCGTTGACGCTGCGACACACGGCGCGAACGGCCGCGCGAACGGGAGCGCGACGACCGCACCAGCTCCAGCTCGCGGCGGCTCTGTCGACGCCGTCGGAGCAGATGGAGGTGAAGCTCAAGGCGGAGCTGGGCGCCGTGGAGGTCGCCGTCGAGGACGTCTCCGTGCGCGCGCCGCGTCCCTCGGCAAACGAAAGCCGCGCGCGCGCGCGCCGGCCGCGCGTGCGTCGCGGCCCGAATTCCGCGCGCGCGCTCCGCAGGGCGGCTGCGGGGCCATGTACAAGTGCTACATCGAGTCGCCCCGGTTCGCGGGCCTGAACACGATCAAGCAGCACAAGCTCGTGCAGGGCGTGCTCAAGGACGAGATCGCGGACATGCACGGGTTCCAGCTCAAGACCGCGCTGCCGAAGTAGCACCCGATAAATTTACTACTCAGAGCAGGGAGGGGCCCGCGGGGAGGCACGTCGTCAGGACGCCGCCGAGCGCGCCCGCGGCGTTGAAGGGCGAGTCGCGGCCCGCGGCGCCGGCGGCCGCGACGTTCGCCTGGAGGTAGCGCGCGGCGCGGCGGTAGAAGCCGACGGCGAGGGGCCGCGGCGCCCGCTGGATGCGCTCGAGCACCGCGGCGAACGTCGCCGCGTCGTCGCCCGCGCCGTCGACGTCGAGGGGCTCGCCGGCGACCGTCGCGATCTCGTCGAGCGCCGCGACCTCGCCCGCGTGGGGGCACGCGCCCAGCACCTCGTCGACGATGACGTGCGTCGTCTTGCGGTCCTTGTCGCGCATGAGCGACGCGCGGACGCCCAGGGGGCCGTCGAAGACGAGCTCGAAGCGCCGCGCGGGCGCGGCCGCCGCGGCCGCGCCGCCGTCGTCGTCCTCGAGCTCCAGGCCGCCGACGCCCGCGACCGCGGCCTCGGCGCGCGCGGCGGCGATGAGGTCGTCGACGGCGGCCTCGCGCTCGAGCGCGCGCGACGCCTCGGCCTCGAGGCCGTCGGTCTTCTCGTCGAGCCGCGCGAGGACGTCCGGCGGCAGCGTCGCGTCCTCCGCGCCGGACAGCGCCTCGAGGGACTCGGCCGTGAGCGACAGCGTCTCCCGGATCGTCGCGAAGCGCCGGTCCTGGTCCGCGAGCTCCGCCTCGAGGGCCTCGAGCGCCGCGGCGCACTTCTGGGCGTAAATCTCGTTGTCGAGGCTGTCGCCGCCGTCGAGGGCCGCGACGACGCGCGCCATGGCGTCCGTCGTGTGTGGCGGTGGTGGTACGACGCCCGCGGCGCGCGCAGCGCTGGTTTTTTGCGCCAACGACGCGGGCGGGCTGGCGTTGCGGCGAAGATCAGCTTTTTTATCTTTTGCCACAGGATGTGCGCGTCTTAGCGGCCCGCGCGCGCATCCCAGCGATGCACAAAACCAGCGCCATCTTAGCGGCCCGCGCGCGCATCCTCGCGATGCACAAAACCACCTTCCAACGACACTTTGCGACGCGCATATCGCGATCCCGCCGCGAGCGGCGCGACTCCGTCACGGAGGCCATCGTCGAGGAGCGCGAGGCCTGGCTGGCGCGCCTCGAGGCCTTGGAGACCTCGAGCCCGCGCGACCGGCGGTGGCTCCGGGACATCAAGGCCCTGGGCCTCGGCCGGCGGCGCGCGGGCGCCGCGGGCGCCTTCCGGCGGCGCGAGCCCGCGCTCGACGCCGTCAAGGTCGCCGCGCAGCACGACGAGCGGCGCGCGCCGGCGCTCAAGCACGCGCTGCCCGAGGTCTGCCTCGTCGGCCACGCGAACGCGGGCAAGTCGACGCTGCTCAACGCGCTCTGCGGCCTCGCGCCGGCCCGGGGCGCCGCGGCCGTGTCGGACCGCGCGGGATGGACGCGGACGATCGACTGGTACCGCGTCGGCCGCCGGCGTCGCCGCGCCGCCTTCTTCGACGACGTCCGCCGCCCCCGCAGGTCGACCGGAGGCCGCCGCGCTGCTACCTCGTGGACCTGCCCGGCTACGGCTTCAGCGTCGCGGCGCCGCGGGAGCAGCGGCGCTGGGACGCCGCGGGCCTCGCGTACGTGCGCGCGCGCGCGCCGCTCGCCGCGGCCGTCGTCGTCGTCGACGCGACGCGCGGCCTCTGCGGCCTGGACGGCGACTGGCTCGCGGCGCTCGCCGCGCGCGACGCGCCGGTCCCGGCGATCGTCGCGCTCTCCAAGGGGGACCTGCTCCCGCCGCCGGTCCTCGCGGCGGCCGCGCGCGTCGTCGAGGACGACGTCGCCGGCGCCGCGGCCGTCTTCCCGTGCTGCGGCACGACGGGCGCCGGCGTCGACGCGCTCTGGGGCGCCCTCGCGGCCCACGCCGAGGGCGCGTCGGAGCGGCCCCACGGCGCCCGCGGCGTCCCCGTCCACCGGAGCGCGCTACAACAATCATAGCCTCCCCGCCGCGAGGGGGGACCGCGGCGCCCCGGGCAGTTTCAAGAGCCCGAGGTAGGAGAGCGCCCGTCGCAAGCGCGTGCGCTTCGCGAGGCGCGCCGCGGCGCGCTCGCGCTGGTCCAGGGCCGCGCGCGCCGCCGCGTGAAAAAGCTCGCGGACGCCCTCGCCCGTGAGCGCGGACGTCGAGACGTAGCCGACGCCGACCTCGCGCGCGAGCGCCGCGCCCATGGCGTGGTCGACGCGCGACGGCAGGTCGATCTTCGTCCGGGCGAGGATGACGGGCGCGGTCGCGTCGGCCTCGGCGCACTCGGGCAGCCACGTGCGGACGACGTTGTCGAAGCTCGACGCGCGCGTCGACGAGAAGGGGACGACGAACGCGTGGACGTTCGGGAAGCTCATCCTGCGCAGGTGCGCGTAGTCCTCCTGGCCGGCCGTGTCCCAGAGCGACACGAGGCAGTCGCGGCCGTCGTCGAGCGTGAGGGCCGCCTCCGCATTGTCGAAGACCGTCGGCACGTAGGTCTCAGGAAATCGGCCCTCGGTGAATCTCTTCAGCAGGCAGGTCTTGCCGACGGCGCCGTCGCCGACGATGACGATCTTCAGCGGCGCGGGCATCATAGTGTGCTTCGACAAGGCTGCCGCCGCGGAAGGCTCGAGGAAGTCGCGAGATTTGCGGTCAGTGCCGTCAACTTTCCTGCAACGACTTCATGCTGCTGGATTGCCGCGCCATCGATCTGGGCCGCTATCGAGTACCCAAGCGTCGCACTGCAGCGCTCGAATGCGCCGCCGCCTCGCCGCGGCGCTGGCGGCGCTGGTCGCAGCGACGACGGCGCAGGAAGCCTGGGTCGTCGTCGTCGAGGCCGACGGCGAGAGCGTCGGCGCTCTGGCGCTCGGCGCGTCGCTGCGCGGCTACGGCACGCGCGGCGCCCTCGTCGCCTTCGTCGGCCCGCGCGTGGGCGACGGCTGGGTCGCGGCCCTGGAGCGCTTCGGCTACGAGGTCGTGCCCGTCGCGGGCCGCGGCGGCGCGTCGCGCGCGGCGTTCGGCGCGGCGATGGCGCGGGGCCTCCGCCGCTTCGCGGCGGCGGTCGTCGTCGACCCGGCGAGCCTCGCCGTCGCCGGCGACGTCGACGCGCTCTTCGACTGCAAATGCGGCTACTGCGCCGTCCACGACGGCGCCGCCGCTTCGAGCGCGCCGGGCGGGCCCGTCGTCGTGTCGCGGTCGGCCCGCGGCGAACCGCCGCTCGGGCGTGCGCTCGCGGCGTGCGCCTACGTCGACCCCGCGGCGGGCGCGGCCTGCGGCGGCGGCTGCGCGCGGCTCCCGAGCCGCTACGCGGCGTCGCCGCTGCTGCTGCTGCTCAACGGCGCGCCGGGCGCCGCGACGCGCCTCGTCCGGACGGCGAACGCGATGCCGCCGGCCTGGGAGGCGTCGCGGGCCGCGTCGCTGGCACGCCTGGCCTTCGGCGACGCCGCCGTGCCCTGGGCCTGGTGGGCGGCGCCCCTGCTGCCGCTCCACGGCCGCTGGCGCGCCGCGCGCGCCGCGGCGGCGGCCACCGCGGGCGGCGCGGCCGCGGCGCCGTCGCCGGGCCGCGTCGCCGTCGCCGTGCTCGGCGCGCCGGCGCTCATCGCGGCGCTCGCGTGCGCCGCCGCCGCGGCGGCGGGGCCCCGCGCGCCGCGGCGCCGGGCCCGCGCGGCGCCCGGCGGCGACGCCGCCGCGGGCCAGGCGGCGCTGGCCGTCGGCGCCGCCGTCGCCCGGGCCTGGGTCGGGTGCCAGGCGGCCTGCCTCGCCAAGGCGCCGCCGGACGTCGGCGCCGCGGCCTTCCTCGGCGCGCTCCTGCCCGCGACGGCCGCGGCGTTCGTCGCCCTCCAGGCGCGGCGGGGCCGCGCGCCGCCGCGGTCCTTCGCCCGCGAGGCGCTCGCGCTCGCGGCGATCGCCGGCGCCGCGGCGCTCTTCCCCTACGCGCGCCTCCGCGCCGACGCGCGGCGGCCCGTCGACGCCGTCGACGCGGCCCTGCCGCCGGCCGCGGCCGCGGCCGTCTTCGCGACGGCCGCCAACGTCGCCTTCCTCCGCGCGGGCGCCGCCGCGCGCGCCGCGGGCGCCAAGGGCCGCGACGAGCCCGACGGCGGCGACGACGGCGGCGGGGTCGCGGGGCCGCGGCGCCGCCGAGGCGTCGGGTAAAGGTCACACGGTGCCGGCTCCGTTCTTTTTGAAACGCCCGATGGTCTGTCGGAGCTCGCATATGGTCTGTCGGAGCTCGCATATGCGGACGTAGCGGCGTGTCGACGATGCCGGAGGCGCAGCAAAGCTACGGCGTCCTCGACTACGGCCACTTCGACTACGGCGACTTCTTCGACGAGCCGCTCGTGCCCAACGATGGCTGGGGGCTGCTCTGCACGGCCAACGAGGAACTCATCTGCTCCGCGCCGACGCCGAACCTCTTCTGTGGGGCCCGCGCCGAGCCGGACAGCCCGCCGGTCGAGACCGGCCCGGGCCCGGCGACGCCGCAGGCGACGCCCGTCGCCGTCCGCGAGCGGGAGGAAGCGATCCGAGGCGACGCCGTCAGCGTGGACATCGTCGGCATCGCCGTCGACGCCGCGTCGCCCGCGAAGCCCCGCGGCAGCGTGCTCGACGAGTTCGTGCGCGTTCCGCGTCCTTCCGTTCGTTGTTGCCTTCGACAAACGTTCCGGTTCGTAGGGCCTCGGCGAATACGGCGGGGGCTTCCTCCGGCGATCCTCGGAGGCGCTCGCGCGGCGCTCGAAGTCGCGCGGCGGCGCCACGATCCTCCAAGCGCTCGCCTGCGTCGTCGTCGTCGCCATGCTCGGCGCCGTCGCCTGGCTCGTGGCGCCCCAGCTGAACCTCGCCGGCGACGACGACGACCCCGTCGGCCCCTCGGCGCTTCCGACGGCCGCGCCGACGGCCGCCGTCGTCGCCGTCGAGCTCGCGTGGACCAGCGCGGACAACGGCACCCTCGTCGCCAACGGCACCGGGTTCGTCGCCAACGGCACGTCGGCGGCGCCCTGCGACGGCGTCCCGCTCGGCGGCGGCGGCGCCGTCGACGCGCGCTACGTCGCGCTCGCGCTCGCCATCGACCCCATCGCCGTGTCGAACGTCACCTGCGCCGTCGTCCCCGGCCGGCGCCTCGACGACGCCGCGCCGCGGCGCTGCGCGGGCGCCGTCGAGCGCTACAGCGTCGTCGTCGTCGTCCGGGACCTCGTCTCCGCGGACGCCGCGGACGACGCCGCGGGCCTCTACGAGCAGCGCCTCGTCGAGAGCTTCGCCGACGACGAGCTCGACACGATCTGCGACGTCTCGGCGACCGTCCTCGCGACGCGCGCGGCGCGGCCGGCGGCCGGCGATCCCGGCGATCTCGGCGCGGCGCTGGCGCCAGGGCTGACGCCCGCGCCGACGGCGACGCCCGGGAACCCCACGGCAGCGCCCGTGCTCGAGCCGACGCCGGGGCCGACGTCGCTTCCGAGCTCGGCTCCCGCACCTGGGCCGACGCCGCGGCCGTCGCCGGCGCCGACGGCCGCCGCCGCGCCGAGCGCCGCGCCGACGGCCTGCGACGACAGCGGCGCCTGGCACAAGAACGGCGCGCCCTCGAAGGACTGCGACTGGGTCCGCAGCCACCCGCCGCGCTGCGCGGCCGTCGGCTGGGACGGCGCGGTCGCCGCGGCCGCGTGCCGCGGCGCCTGCGGCTGCAGCCGGCCGCCGACGGCCGCGCCGACGTCCGAGGCGCTCTTCTGGTTCGACTTCGACGACCCGAGCGGCGGCACGGACACGGGCTACGGCGACGCGTTCGTCGACGCGTCGGGCAACGGCCACGCGATCTCCGACTCGTCGGGCTCGAGCCGGACGACGGGGCCCTTCGGGACGCCCGCGCGCTTCCTCGGCGCGCTCCACGGCTTCGCCCTCGACGACGTCGCGCCGGCGCTCGCGGGCGCGGGGCCCCGGACGCTCGGCGCCTGGCTGCGCATCGACGCGTTCGACGGCGGCTACGCGCTCGAGATCGGCGGCGGCGCCGCCGCGTGCGAGAACTTTGGCCTCCGCGCGGGCTGGAGCGAGGGCGCGCTGGAGCTCGCCTTCAAGGGCGACTGCGCCGTCTCCGTCGCGGACGCGGGCCTGGCCGCGGGGCGGTGGCACCACGTCGCGGTCGCCTACGACGGCGCGGCCGCGTGGACGCTCTACGTCGACGGCGACGTCGCCGCGTCGGGGACCGCGGTCCTCGACACGGCGGGCGCCGCGCCGCTCGTCGTCGGCGGCACGACGGCCAGCCCGCTCACGGGCGCCGTCGACGACCTCTTCGCCTACGGCGCCGCGCTCGACGCCGACGCCGTGCGCGCGCTCCGCGACCGCGGCGGCCGCACCTACGCGCCGACGGCCGCGCCCGCGCCGTCGCCGACGGCGGCGACGCGGCCGCCGTCGCCGGCGCCGACGGCGCGGGGCACGCCGGCGCCGAGCGTCGAGCACTGCGCCCACGGCCGCGGCCTCGACTTCGCCGAGTTCGTCGTCGACGACGAGATCGGGTCGCCGAGCTTCACCTGGGGCGTGGACCTGGACCAGGACGGCGACATGGACGTGCTGACGACGAGCCTCCACGACAACACGGTCGCCTGGTCCGAGAACGACGGCAACCAGTCCTTCACGGAGCGGCTCCTCACGTCGACGGCCATGTCCGCGGCCTTCGCGTCCTACGGCGACGTCAACGAGGACGGCGCCTTCGACGTCCTCGCCGTGAGCTGGGGCGACAACACGACGCGGCTCTTCGTCAACGACGGCGCCATGTCGTTCTTCGAGGTCCAGCTCGACTCGGAGGAGGCGCCGACGGACGTCGTCGTCTTCGACTTCGACGGCGACGGCGACACGGACGTCTTGGCGGCGTCGTGGTACAAGGGTACGATCTTCTGGTTCGAAGGACACGGCGAGCTGGCCACGTACTACGCCAAGGCCTACATCGCCGAGGGGCTCGCCGGCCCCTGGAACGTCTTCCCCGCGGACATCGACTCCGACGCGGACCTCGACGTCCTCGCGGCGACGGGCTACGACTTCGCGGTGACGTGGTACGAGAACGACGGGAACATGACCTTCGCCGTGCGCGTCGTCGACACGGAGGTCATCCAGCCGCGGGAGGTCGTCGCGCGCGACGGCGACGGCGACGGCGACGTCGACCTCTTCGTCGCCGTCCGCGGCGCCTCCGAGCTCGTCTGGTACGAGGACGACGGCCGCCAGAACTGGGAGAAGATCGTCATCGCGGACGACGCCTACGGCGCCTACACGATCTGCCCGACGGACCTCGACGGCGACGGCGACATCGACGTCGTCGGCGCGAGCAAGGAGAAGGACGAGATCCCCTGGTACGAGAACGACGGCGCCATGGGCTTCGGCGAGCACATGGTGTCGACGACGGCCGTCGGCGTCCGCTACTCCATCGTCGCGGACATGGACAGCGACGCGGACCTCGACGTCGTCGCCGCCCTCGCGGGCCGCGACTGCACCGTGTGGTACGAGAACGGCTGCGAGAACCAGGACTACGCGCCGGCGACGTCGCTCCTCGCGCTCGGGCTCGAGGCCAGCTCCGCGCCGGACAGCCTCATGACCATCATCGCGGAGGCGGAGGGCTACGACGACGACGTGGACTAAATTCATCCCCAGCTTCTATGGCACTGTCGAACAGGGGGTGCGCGCCCGGCGCGGAGGCGGGGGAGGTGGCCAGAGGGCGGCGCGGAGTAAAATTCACGTCCAGCTTCATCGGCGTTGTTGAATTTTCTATTTTGCGATTCGATGTGTCTCCCGAAAGCCGCGAGCTGCGTCGCGCGGCAGGTCACGGCGCCGTCCGCCGAGCCGCCGCGGTGACCGGGTTGCCGCCATGTCGCGGGAGGGCGACGGCTTCTTCGACGGCGCCTTCTTCCAACGCGAGGAGGCCAAGGACGAGAATGGCTGGAGCATGGTCTGCACGACCAAATTCCTGTGTTCCACGCAAAAAGCCGAGCCGGACGATTCGCCGGGGTCCCAGCGGGCCGACGACGAGTCCGTGGCGCTGACGGACGCGGACGGCTTCGAGGTCGACATCGTCGAAGTCGCGCAGGCGAGGAAGGAGGCGCCGGCGCGAGACGCGCCGGACCCGCGCGACGGCGTGCTCGGCGACTACGGCCTCGGCGCCTACGGCGGCTACCCGCGCCGGTCCAAGGCGGGGACGCGGACGCGCCGCGTCTCGAGCGGCCTCCTCGCGGTGCCGTGCGTGCTCATCGTCGTCCTCCTCGGCCTCCTGCTGTGGCTGCTCCTGCCGCGCGTCGACCTCTTCGCGAAGCACGACGACGACGCGGCCGCGCCGGCGTTCCCAACGGTGGCGCCGACGGTCGCCTTCGTCACGATCGAGGTCGCGTGGACCGCCGCGGACGATCTGGGATGCGACGGCGTCGCGAACGGAGGCGGCGAGCGGCTCGCGGAGGCCTTCGTCGCCGCGGCCCTCGCCGTGGACCCGGCGAGCGTGTCGAACATGACCTGCGACGACGCCGCGCCCGGCGGCCGCCGCCTCGAGGACGCGTGCGCCGCGGAGGTCTACGGCGTCGTCGTCTCCGTCGAGGACCTCGCGGAGACCTACGGCATCACCGCGCACGACGTCGCGGCGCTCTACGCGGCGCGCCTCGAGGAGTCCTTCGCGGAGGAGGAGCTGTCGACGGCGATCTGCGAGGTGTCGGCGACCGTGACGAAGACGCTCGCGCCGTCGCCGGCGCCGTCGGGCGCGCCGTCGGCGGCGCCGACGCCGCGGCCGACGCCCCGGCCGTCGCCGGCGCCGACGGCGACGCCCGGCAACCCCTCGGCCGCTCCCGTCTTCGCGCCGACGCCGAAGCCGACGCCGCTTCCGACGCCGCGGCCGTCGCCGGCGCCGACGGTGACTCCGGGCAACCCGTCGGCGGCGCCCGTCTTCGCGCCGACGCCGCGGCCGACGCCGCGTCCCTCATCCGCGCCGACGCGCCGACCAACTCCGGGGCCGTCGCCTTGGCCGACGGTGACCCCTGGAAACCCTTCGGCAGCTCCCGTGTTTTCTCCAACACCGAGGCCGACGCCGCGACCGTCGTCCGTGCCGACGCTGCGACCGACTCCGGAGCCGTCGCCGGCGCCGACGGTGACTCCGGGCAATCCATCCGCAGCTCCCGTCTTTGCACCGACGCCGCGACCGACGCCGCGACCGTCGTCCGCGCCGACGCTGCGACCGACTCCGGAGCCGTCGCCGGCGCCGACGGTGACTCCGGGCAATCCATCCGCAGCGCCTGTGTTCGCGCCGACGCCGCGGCCGACGCCGCGACCGTCGTCCGTGCCGACGCTTCGACCAACTCCGGAGCCGTCGCCGGCGCCGACGGTGACTCCGGGGAATCCATCCGCAGCGCCCGTTTTTGCACCGACGCCGCGGCCGACGCCGTTTCCGTCGTCCGCGCCGACACTTCGACCAACCCCGGAGCCGTCGCCGGCGCCGACCGTTACCCCTGGAAATCCGTCGGCCGCGCCAGTCTTCGCGCCGACGCCGCGGCCGACGCCTCAGCCGACGAGAACGTCGATGCCGAGCCGCGCGCCGACGGGCTGCGACGACGACGACGCGTGGTACAAAACGGGCGATTCCGCGAAAGACTGCAGCTGGGTGCAAAACCACCCCCCGCGCTGCTCGGTCAAGGGATGGGACGACCGCATCGCCTGGGAGGCGTGCCGCGCCGCTTGTGGGTGTAGCTCGACGCCGACCAAGAGGCCGACGCATCTGCCGTCGTCCGCGCCGACGCCTCGACCAACGCCCCAGCCGTCGCCCGCGCCGACGGTGACTCCTGGGAACCCGTCCGCGGCGCCCGTTTTCGCTCCGACGCCGAGGCCAACGCCGCTGCCGACTATCGCTCCGGCGCCTGCGCCAACGCCTCGGCCTTCGCCCGCGCCGACGGCGACGCCAGGCAATCCGACCGCGGCGCCCGTATTTTCTCCGACGCCGCGGCCGACACCGCTTCCGAGCTCGGCTCCCGCGCCTGGACCGACCCCGCGGCCTTCGCCAGCACCCACGGCTACGCCAGGGAATCCGACAGCAGCACCTGTTTTCGAGCCGACGCCGAAGCCAACGCCGCTACCGTCGTTAGCCCCCGCGCCCGCGCCGACGCCTCGGCCATCGCCAGCACCCACGGCGACGCCCGGGAACCCGACAGCGTCGCCCGTTTTTTCTCCGACGCCGCGGCCAACACCGCTTCCGAGCTCGGCTCCCGCGCCTGGACCGACGCCACGGCCATCGCCCGCGCCGACCGCGACACCTGGAAATCCATCAGCAGCTCCCGTGTTCGCTCCGACCCCGAGGCCAACGCCGCTTCCGAGCTCGGCTCCGGCGCCTGGACCGACGCCTCGGCCGTCGCCAGCGCCGACGGCTACGCCAGGGAATCCGACAGCAGCACCTATTTTCGCTCCGACTCCGAGGCCAACGCCGCTTCCAAGCTCGGCTCCAGCGCCCGCGCCGACACCAAGGCCCTCGCCAGCACCGACGGCCACTCCCGGGAACCCCTCAGCGGCACCTGTTTTTGCTCCGACTCCGAGGCCAACGCCGCTGCCGTCGTCCGCCCCCGCACCAGGACCGACGCCGCGGCCATCTCCAGCGCCCACGGCGACGCCCGGAAACCCATCAGCAGCTCCCGTGTTCGCTCCGACGCCGAGGCCATCGCCGCTGCCGTCGTTGGCCCCCGCACCAGGACCGACGCCGCGGCCATCGCCCGCCCCCACGGCTACGCCAGGAAACCCGACGGCGGCACCTGTCTTTTCTCCCACGCCGAGGCCATCGCCGCTGCCGACGTCCGCCCCCGCACCAGGACCGACGCCGCGGCCGTCGCCCGCCCCCACGGCTACGCCAGGAAACCCGTCCGCAGCACCCGTCTTTTCTCCGACGCCGCGACCATCGCCGCTGCCGACGTCCGCGCCCGTACCTGGGCCGACGCCGCGGCCATCGCCGGCGCCCACGGCGACGCCCGGAAATCCGACAGCTTCGCCCGTTTTCGCGCCGACCCCGAAGCCGACGCCGCTTCCGAGCTCAGCTCCCGCACCCGCGCCGACGCCGCGGCCATCGCCGGCGCCCACGGCGACGCCCGGAAATCCGACAGCTTCACCCGTTTTCGCGCCGACCCCGAAGCCGACGCCGCTGCCGACGTCCGCCCCCGCACCCGCGCCGACGCCGAGGCCATCGCCCGCCCCGACAGCAACGCCAGGAAACCCGACGGCAGCGCCCGTCTTCGCGCCCACGCCGACGCCCACGCCGCGCCCGTCGTCGACGCCGACGCTTCGACCGACGCCGCGACCATCGCCGGCCCCGACGGTCGCGCCGGGCAATCCCACCGCGGCGCCCGTCTTCGCCCCGACGCCGCGCCCGAGCGCCTCGCCGACGGGCTGCGAGGACAGCGCCGCGTGGTACGTCGACGGCAAGCCCTCGCGCGACTGCGCCTGGGTGGGCGAGAGCCCCGGGCTGCGCTGCGCCACGGTGGGCTGGGACGGAGCCGTCGCGGCGGACGAGTGCCGCGCCGCCTGCGGTTGCAGCCTCGCGCCGACGGGCGCGCCGACGCGCGTGCCCTCGCCCGCGCCGTCGCCGCGGCCGACGTCGTCCGCGCCGTCGGGGTCGCCCGCGCCGACGTCGGAGGTGCTCTTCTTCTTCGACTTCGACGACGGCACGGGCACGGGCTACGGCCAGTCGACGACGGACGTCGTCAACGGCTGGACGATCAGCGACACCTACGGCTCGTCGAAGACGACGGGCCCCTTCGGGACGCCCGCGCGCTTCTTCGGCGGCCTCCACGGCTTCGAGATGGACGACGTCGTGCCCAAGCTCACGGGTTCCAAGTCGCGGACGCTGGGCGCCTGGCTGCGGATCGACGCGTACGACGGCGCCTACATCCTGATGATCGGCGGCGGCGACAATAACTGCCAGCACTTCGGCCTCCGCGCGGGCTTCGAGGAGGAGGCGCTGGAGGTGGCCTTCAAGGGCACGTGCTCCGCGACCGTCAACAAGACGAACGTCACGGCCGGCGAGTGGCACCACGTGGCCATCGTCTACGAGGAGTCCGTCGACTGGCGGCTCCACGTCGACGGCGAGGTCGTCGCCGCCGGCGCCGCGGTGCTGGACACCCCCACGACGAATAGTCTGCGCGTCGGCGGCAAGGAGGTGTTCCCGTTCACGGGGGCCATCGACGACCTCTTCGCCTACGGCGCCGCGTTGGACACGTCCGTGATCCGGGGGCTCTACGAGGCCGGCGGCTTCACGCAGGTTCCGACGGCGGCGCCGGCGCCCGGGCCGACGGCCGCCGCGCGGCCGCCGTCGCCCGCGCCGACGAAGCGCGCCGCGGCGGCGCCGACGGTCGAGCGCTGCGCGTACGGCCACGGGCTCGACTTCTCGGCGCACGTCGTCGACGACGCGGTCAAGTCCCCGTCCTTCACCTGGGGGGTGGACCTGGACCAGGACGGCGACATGGACGTGCTCACGACGTCGCTCCACGACAACACGCTGGCCTGGTCCGAGAACGACGGCGCGCAGGCCTTCTCGGACCACCTCATCACGACGAGCGCCATGTCCGCGGCCTTCGCGGCCTACGGGGACGTCAACGACGACGGCGCCCTCGACGTGCTCGCCGTGTCCTGGGGCGACAACGCGACCCGCGTCTTCGAGAACGACGGCCAGATGAGCTTCTACGAATTCCTGCTCGACGCGGAGGAGGCGCCGACGGCCATCGTCGTCCTGGACTTCGACGGCGACGGCGACACCGACGCGCTCGCGAGCGCCTGGGCCGACGGCACGGTCTTCTGGTTCTCCGGCCGCGGCGGGTCCGGCGCCCGCTGGCAGAAGTCCTACGTCGCCACGGGCCTCGCGGGCCCCTGGAGCGTCTTCCCGGCGGACATCGACGGCGACGCCGACCTCGACGTGCTCGTGGCGACGGGCTACGACTACGCCGTGACGTGGTACGAGAACGACGGCGACATGAACTTCTCGCCGCGAGTCGTCGACACGGAGCTCATCCAGCCGCGCGAGGTCGTCGCGCGCGACGCGGACGGCGACGGCGACGTCGACCTCTTCGTCGCCGTCCGCGGCGCGTCGCAGCTCGTCTGGTACGACAACGACGGGCGCTGCGACTTCGACAAGTACGTCATCTCCGACGAGGCCGACGGCGCGTACACGGTCTTCGCGACGGACCTCGACGGCGACGGCGACATCGACGTCATCGGCGCGAACAAGGACGGCGGCGAGATCCCCTGGTACGAGAACGACGGCGCCATGGGCTTCGACGAGCACATGGTGTCGACGACGGCCGACGGCGTCCGCTACGTCGTCGCGTCGGACATGGACGGCGACGCGGACCTCGACGTCCTCGCGGCCCTCGCGGACGCCGACGCGACGGTGTGGTACGAGAACGGCTGCGACAACCAGGACTACGCCCCGGCGACGACGCTCCTGGCCATGGGGCTCGATGCGGACGCGCTCCCCGAGAGCTACTATACGACCTAGGGAACTGCACGTTGGACTATTTATTATTGTTATTATTATTCGATAATTGCGCCCGAATGGGGTTCGCCCGGGGAAGTGGCGCGGGACGTCGGTACCTTGAACTCAAGAAGCCTGACAGGGTGAAGAGTGTGGAAATCTGAGCTTAGAAGCTCGCCGTCGATCGCGCCGCAAGCGGTGGTGCTGCAACCTCGGTGCACGCGCGCAACGCAATGGCAATGAAGCGCATTTTGGCAATGCTCGCGCTGCTCGCCGCGCGCTGCGACGCCCGGGGCCAGGTCATCGCCTGGGAGGACGAGCGCGCCGAGGTGCTGCTCGCCGCTTCCGACCTGCCCGTCCCGCCGTCGGCGACGCTGCCGAAGACCTTCAGCTGGCGGCGCATCGCCGGCTACGGCTCCATGCTCGTGGCGTCGATGAACCAGCACGTGCCCAAGTACTGCGGCGCGTGCTTCGCGTTCGCGTCGTTCCACGCGCTCGCGGATCGCGTGAAGATCGCGCGGTACCTCGCGCTGCGGTCCGGCGGCGACGCCTTCGACGGGCCGGACCTCGTCGCGGCGATCCAGGTCATGCTCAACTGCGGCGGCGACGACGAGGGCTGGGGCGTCGCGGGTAGCTGCGCGACGGGCGGGTCGTCCGCGGGCGTCTATCGGTGGGTCGAGCGCTTCGGCGGCGTCCCCGCGGCGGGCTGCTTTCCCTATCTAGCGACGGACGGCCTGGGCTGCGCGCCGGACACGATCTGCCGCAACTGCATGCCGTCGAACGAGGACGGCTCCGAGACGGAGTGCTGGGCCGTGCCCGGCTGTGTGGAAATCAACCACTGGTTCGGGGGGTCCCCACCAAACTTCAGGATTCTCTACTAGTAGCTCGGCCAAATCGAAGTCGATTCGGCTGATTTTTGGACGAATCGATTGCTCTCGTCGAGTCCTCGAAGCATAGCGAAAGAGTCTGGTCCAAATCGTTCGATTACGCGCACATTGAAGTCGGATTGAAGATTTGCTTTCCACACAGGTGCCCGGCGACGCGCCGCTCGACGCGGCGTGCTGCGGCGACGACACGTGCGCGGTGAGCCCCTACCCGCGCATCGCCGTCGCCGCCTACGGCAGGTTGCCCGGCGCCTTCGACGTGGGCGCCGCGGCGGCGGCCGAGGCCATGCGCGCCGAGATCGCGCGCGCGGGGCCGATCACGTGCAACGTCGACGCGACGACGTACCTCCGCTACCGCGCCGGCCTCGTGCCCGCGTCGCCCGTCGGCGACCGCCGGGCCAACGACACGGACCACGTCATCGAGGTCGTCGGCTGGGGCGAGAGCGACGAGCTGGGCGCGTACTGGGAGATCCGCAACTCGTGGGGCGAGTACTGGGGCGACAACGGCTTCGCCAAGGTGCGGCGCGGGCTCAACGACGGGCTCATCGAGGCCCACTGCACCTGGGTCCACCCGGGGGGCTGGGGCGTGCCGAACTCGCCGACGTGGCAGGACAACGCGGACGTCCAAAGCCGCGACGCGGGCGCGGCGTCGCTCGTCGCGGTCCACGGCGGGCCCTGGCGCCTCGCGGACGGCGCCCGGGGCCTCGGGCGCGTCGCGGCGGCGGCCGTGCCCGTCTTTGGCGTCGCGCTCCTTGTCGCCGCCGCGGCGCGGACCAAGGCGCCGCGAGAGGTGCCGCGCGCCGCGTCGTCCGCGTGAGCTGTTTCCCGCGACGCGACACCGCGGGATCCTCCCGCGCCGTTACGACCTCTAGTTACGACCTAGGGCGACCGCCGCCAGGGGGGGAAGGAGAAGGACGACTTCCGCGCCGGCGGCGACGCGGCGGAGCTCGCGGGCGACGACGACGGCGCGCCCGGCGGCTCCTCGGGGACGCGGACGAAGCGGAGCGCCTGGGGCGGCGGCCTCCGGAGCGCCGCGAGGATGTCCGCGTAGGGCACGGAGACGACGCTCGCCTCGTCGAGGGCCACGAGGACGTCGCCGACCATGAGCGGCGGCGCGTAGCGCGCCGCGCGGCTCCCGCCGTCCGCGCGCGGGATGAAGCCCGCGAGGCGCGCGCCCGTGCAGCCGTCGTCGTCGAGGGGCACGAACTTGAGCCGGTAGGCGACGCTCAGCGCGAGGTCCTCGGCGCTCGGCTCGGGGGCCTCGGGGCTTTCGGGGGTTTCGGGCGCGGGCGCGGGCGCCTCGGGCTCCGGCTCCGGTTCCGGCTCGGGCTGCGCCTCCGGCGCCTCGGGCTCGGGTTCGGGCTCGGGCTCCGCCTCGGGCTCCGGTTCGGCCTCAGGCTCCGGTTCCGGTTCGGCCTCGGGCTCCGGCTCGGCCTCGGGTTCCGCCTCGGGTTCCGCCTCTGGCTCGGGCGTGTAGGTGTCGAGCGCCGCGCGGTGCGCCGCTTTCGCCTCCAAGTCAAGCTGGTCGTCCGGCTCCTCCGCCGCTTCGGGCGCCACGGTCTCCGCCTCTTCCGCGGCCTCGGGCTCCGGCTCCTCCGCCGCTTCGGGCGCCGCGGTCTCCGCCTCTTCCGCGGCCTCGGGCTCCGGCGCCTCGGGCGCCTCCGGCGGCGCCTCCGGCGGCGCCTCTGGCGGCGCCTCGGGCTCCGCCGCTTCCGGCGGCGCGTCGGCCTCGGGCGCCGCGGCGGGCTCCGTCGCGGCCTCGGGCTCCGGCGGCGCGGCCGGCGCGGCCGCGGGCTCCGGCGCCCGGAGCTCCGGCGCCCGCTCCGCCGCGACGGCGTCCTCGGGCGCCGCGGACGCGAAGTCGGCGAACTCGGCGCCGTCAAAGTCCGCGCCAAAGTCCGCGTCGAAGGCGTCGTCGAGGAGCGCGCCGGCGACGGCGCGGGCCTCGAAATCCGGCGGCACCGCGTCCTCCGGCTCGGCGCAGGCCGGCGGCGGCTCGTCCTCGGGCGCGCCGCCGGCGTCGGCCGTCTCCGGCTCGGCCTCGGCGCTCGTCGGCGCGCCGCCCGTGAGCGCGGGCCGCCAGGGCCCGCGGATCTCGACGGACACGGAGCCGCGCGCGTCGTCCACCGAAGCGACGACGACGCGCGCGCCCTCGTCGTCGCCGTCGAAGCGCACGCTCCGGCGCGGCGGCGCCTCGTTGGCGCGCGCGATGGTCAGGAGCACGGCGCGGCCCCGCCCGTGGAGCAGGCTCAGCAGCTCCGCAAAGTCCTCGCGCGACGCCGCGGCGACGGCCGCGCCGTCGACGCCGACGATCGTGTCGTTGACCCGGAGCTTGCGCTCCCGCGCCGCCGGCGACCCGGGCCGCATGTCCGCGACGACGAAGCAGCCCCAGTGCGGGCTCGCCGCGCCGGCCTCCGTCGCCTTGAAGAGCTGGTACTCGAGCTGGAGGCCCCAGGGCTCGGCCGTGGAGCTCCGCAGGAGCACGACCTCGAAGTTGAGCAGCGCGCGCGGGCCCTCGGCGGCGGCCATGGTCGCGGCCGGCGCGGCGGGAGTTTGTGCGTGTCTGTGTCGAGGGCGCGCGGGTTTGCGGCGTGCGCGCGCGGCGTGGCTGCCGTCGATGTGCGGCTGTGGCTTTTCGCGAGCGTCAAGTTGACGAGATGTGTCGCTTTATTTGAACTTTACGCCTCCTATTGGTCGACGACGTGCGTGTCCGTCTCGACCCAGTATTCGTCGCCGTAGTCGAAGGAGAGCTCCTCGCCCGGGGCGATGTCGCGCGTCGCGACGAACCAGACGCGGGGCTCGCCGCCGAACGCGTAGGCCAGCGACTTGACGCGCATGTTCGGGTCGTTGTGGTGGTTTATGTAGCGGCACCAGTTCGCGTGCACCGGGTCTTCCGCGTCGACGAAGAGGTCGTCGTCGACCTGGAAGATGTAGGTGCCCGACGCCGTGACGCCGCGCGCCCTTCGCGACGCGAGCCAGATCTTGTCTCGCCAGTTCTGCTCGCGGCCGAGGTAGCGCGCGTCCTTCTCGCGCAGCGTGAGCTTTTCGCCGACGTAGTCGCCGACGATCTCCTCCTTCTCGAAGGACCGCGTCGCGAAGGCGCCGAAGCCCTTGCCCGGCGACGGCTTGATGGCCACGCCGGCGTCGGCGTTGAGGCCCTCGGCGTCGAGGTCCGATGTGAAGACGGGCACCGTCGCGGACGAGAAGACCGCGACGCGTCGTCTGGCTGTGGACTGGACGCGCGCGGAGAAGGCGACGGCATGAGACGTCACGAGGAGGGCTGCGAAGGCCTTCTCGTAGTACGACATCGGCGCGTACGAGCTTCACCTTGGGTTCAACCACCCATGAAAGCAAATAGGGCCCCCAACTTGCACTGCGGCGCTCTTTGTTAGAACGAAACCGCATGGGCTCTCCCAAGGTTACTCTGTTTCTTTCCGCGCGGTAAGGACACGCCTCCTCCGGCCGCCGCGGCGCGATGGGCGGCGACGAGGACGCCGCCGTCGAGGGGCTGCGGTCCGGCGCCTGCCGGTCCGTGTCTGGCCTCGAGTACGCGGCCCTCGTCCGGGCGGGCTGCCAGCACATGATCGCGAACAAGGCGGAGCTCAACAAGATCAACGTCTTCCCGATTCCCGACGGTGACACGGGCACGAACATGGCCATGGCGGGCAAGGGCATCCTCAAGGGCCTCAAGCGCGCGTCGGGCGAGCGGAGCCTCGCCAAGGTCGCGGCGTCCGTCGCCGAGGCCTGCGTGCTCACGGCCCAGGGCAACAGCGGCACGATCCTGACCTTCTTCTTCGGGTCGCTGAGCCGGCGCTGCGGCGAGCGCTGCGGCGACGCGCGCGACGCGCTCGACGTCGCGGAGTTCAAGGCCGCGCTCGAGGACGTCGGCGCGGAGATGATGACGTCCGTGGCCGAGTGCAAGGAGGGCACCTTACCGTCCGTGGTCATGGAGTCGACGAAGCACCTCGACGCGTCGCACCTCGGCGCGTTGGTCGCGTCCTGGGCGAAGAGCGCGTGGACGGCGACGGAGGAGACGCCCGACAAGCTCGAGGTCGACGGCAAGTTCATCCTCAAGGGCAAGGGCGTCGTCGACTCCGGCGCCAAGGGCTTCGCCTACTTCCTCCGGGGCGCCGCGGCCCTCGCCGCCGGCGGCGGCGCCGGCGACGACGCCGGCGACGCCGACGAGGGCAAGTTCAAGGTCTCCGACACCTTCGACGCGACCGCGGACCACGACGGCTCCGAGGACGTCGCCCTCGGCCGCTACTGCACGGAGTTCGTCCTCGACCTCGACGCGGGCGTCGCGGCGGCGGACCTCGTCAAGGTCGTCGAGGACCACGGCACGTCCATCGTGCCGCTCGTCGTCGAGGGGCCCGGGGGCCGCACGCTCGGCAAGATCCACATCCACACGCACGAGCCCGGCGTCGTCTTCGCCGCCGCGCGCAAGCTCTCCGCGACGGGCGCGCTCCTGAAAGAAAAGGCCGAGGACATGAGCGCCCAGGTCGCGTCGACGCAGTCGGCGTACCTCGACGAGGTCTGCGCGCCCAAGGGCCCCGTGAAGACGGCGATCCTCGCGTCGTCGCTCGCGGATTTACCCGTGGAGGTCATGGCCCGGCTCCGCGACGCCTTCCCCGAGACGCTCAAAGTCGTGGCGACGCTGACCATCGTCAACGAGGAGTGCTACGAGGACAAGGTCGACGTCGACTCCCAGGAGGTCTGCGACTGGATGCGCCTCGACAAGGACCTGCAGGTGTCGACGTCCGCCGCGCGGAGCCAGGCCTACGTCGACGCGCTGACCGCTCTCCTGGCCGCGCCGGGCGTCGAGGAGGTGCTGGTCCTGACCCACTGCATGCTCGTGTCCAAGGCGACGCGCGCGAACCTCGACGCGGCCATGGACCGGCTCGACGAGCACCAGCGGCGCCGCGTCGTCGTCTACGACACGGACATGGTCTGCGGCGCTTTGGGCATGATGACCCTCGAGGCCCTGCGCCTCGCGGGGAGCGGCGCCGACGCCGTGGACGTCGCCGCGCGCATGGACGCGCTGAAGCCCTGCGCGACGTGCATCGCCGCGGCGCCGAATCTCGACTACGCGATCAAGGGCGGCCGCCTCAAGCTGCCGCCGGCGCTCATCAAGGTCGTCCAGACCGTGGGGCTCAAGATCGGCCTCGAGTTCGTCTACCACCGGCGCCCGCAGACGGAGAAGCCGAGCAAGTTCGCCAAGGGCACGGGCGCCAAGGGCGTCGCGAAGATCCGGGCCGCCGCGCTCGACCTCGTCAAGGCGCGCGTGCCCCGGGGCGCCGAGGTCGGCTTCGTCGTCCAGCACACGGGCCGCGCGGACCTCGTCGCCGACTTCGTGGACGCGCTCCGCGACGCCTACCCGGCCGCGCGCTTCATCCTGGTCTGCTACATCGCGACGACGACGATGGTCCGCTTCGGGGCGGAGATGCTTCGACTCGACGGTTCGCCCATGCGTTGCTCCGAGAGAGGATCGCTCGTCGAAAGGCACCGAGAGGACGTCGGGGCGCGTCCCACGCGCGCGCCGCCCAGGTCCACTTCGGCCCCAACGGCTACGTGCTC